CGATTAAATAATATTTCGTTTATTCTCTGTATTTTCACTTAGGCCAACACTTTGTTTTCATGTGATACTTTAGAATTCTTTCGTTTTTCAAATTGGAAAAATGATTTTCTTATTGTTTGTTTTCATTTGATACTTTAGAATTTTTTTTATTTATTTTGTTTTTTTAAATTGGAAAAGGCATGTTCTTATTGCTGTTTGGCATTTAACAATAAACAAAAATATTTTAAAACGTGTCTCTCTGTCAGTTAAAAAGCAACAATATATGCTACATAATAACTCAACAATAGAGCTTTGTATGCAGTAAAATCAGGATAAATAAGGTTTGTAAAAAAAAAAATTAAAAAAAAAACCCGGTAAAACCGCATATCGCGCTATTGAGTAGACTTGTGCCGGTATTCGGTAATGCGATATATCACGGTAATGAATATGCACGATATTGTTATCATGGGCACTTCTAAATACCGTGAATAATTATATATTACAAATTATTCAGAATTTTGAATGCATTTTAAGAATACCTTTCCCATCAACTGGTCAAAATGCACAACACCGCTGTATGCTGCGTGAAAAACCCGTGCGCACGCTGACGTAAACAAGCGCTAACGAGAAGCACATGGCAGAACATGTGAGAGACGCTCTGGATGAAAATAATGATAAGATGTAGCCTTATGAAAAAAAAACGAACTAAAAGTTTAGCAGGAAAAACAACATCCTTGGTTTATGTGTCCATCAATATCTGAAACTTAAACAGTTGAATGAACGGTAGCCTAATGTGAATTCCATATCCACAAAATAAGATATTTTGAAGATGTTTCTGAAAAGCTGTTTACTTGATATTGAAATTGATATTGCATTTTGCAGTGTCTAACATCAGATTCTGTGGTGAAGAGAATAACTAAAGAGGATATTGCTTTATATCCCCTCCAATTTTACAAGCAGCCATGAGACCCAAATTTAGAGCCATAACTTTATTGTTATTTTTCTACTTACAGAAACAACATCTCTAATAGATTGTATTAAACAGCACCACAATAAAACAAAACAGAGAGCGCAGTGAAACTGATCTTCTTCCTCTGAGGTTTAATGGTGTTTGGCAAACAAACGCATGTGTTTAGCGCCACCCGCTGGATTGGAGTGTGAAGCGGCGAGAGGAGGGAAATAATACGGGGAATATTTACTTGAGTCTATAAAAAGGTGAGCTGATTTGTTTTCCTTAAAAAAAGCCGATCTGCACAAATAAATTAAAATAAATTAAAATTATAGACTCGCATGGTATTTGACAGCATCAACAGTCTTTGTGTTTGAGGATTAGAGGAGAAAAACGAGCGAATTTATTAGCCATGAGACCCAAATTTAGAGCCATAACTTTATTGTGTTAAAGTCATTTTTATTTGGTACTAAAGAAATTTAAAATCTGGGTACTGTAATCATACATTAATGGACAGCATTAATCCTATTTAATCTTACATATGATTGTTGATGTGCTAAGCTTTTCTTATTATTAATTAAAAAATAGATAAAACAAGATATATATTTTTTTAATAATAATGATTAGGCATCCAGAAAGATCATTTCCATGCTGCTTATACTACCCTGCTGAAAAAAGAGCAAAAAAACAATAGACACCATCTTAAAATTTGTAATGATTGTACTGATTTTACTGGAAACTGTAATGTACCCTGTGGGTTTCTACTGGTAATTGGTCAGCTTCTATTGGTGGCTTGTTAAAACCACTAAATTCTAATGTAATTTGTCCCAAAACACACTAGAGAAAACCATTTTTTAAAAGATGATGGTTTGTAACGTTTGTAATGGTATTTGTAGCGGAAACCATTAGACTTTCTGTGCTTTCTATTGTTTTGTTTTTTTCAGCAGGGTATACTGGGTCATGGGTGTGCAGGATGATTACTGACGTACAGCAGGGTGATCACATCGGAGTAAAGAGGTTAAGGAAATGTTAAAATGTTAATTTAAGGTTCCCATAACACTAGTATAACATTTAAAATATCATTATACAAAACAAAAACTAAAGTTTTATTTCTGTTAAGAAGATTTTCTTGGCCAACCAAACACAAACCATAAAAAATAACGTATCGGGAACCAAAAACTAACGTTCTGGGAACCAAAATTGTTATCTGGGAGTAGACTTAGATATATTCATAAAATTATAATTGCCTGAAAAAACAGCTTAATTACAGTAACGTGCCAGTCAAGGTAGGTCAAGTCAAGTCAAGTCACCTTTATTTATATAGCTGTAATTTGATTACTTTTTTAAATAATGAAGTAATTTAACGCGTTATAATTTATAAAAAAGTAATTCGATTATGTTATAAGCCAAGGTCTCTATACGTTACCGCTGCGTTACATGATTGCTAACAGAATGCAATGTTTTATCATCTGGTGGAGCACACGCAGCGTCCTCTACCTGAGACCTATATTTATATATATTATATACCTATATATTTTCCAGCGATATCTTCGACTTGATTGCACAGATACTTTGCTGGTTTAAGCTGGTCTTTTTCTGGTTTATGCTGGTCCTTTGCTGGTTTAAACTGGTCATTTGCTGGTTTAAGCTGGTCCTTTGCTGGTTTAAGCTGGTCCTTTGGTGGTTTATGCTGGTCATTTTGCTGGTTTATGCTGGCCATGTGCTAGCAAAGGACCAGCATAAACCAGCAAAAGGACCAGTTTAAACCAGCAAAGGACCAGCTTAAACCAGCAAAGGACCAGCATAAACCAGCATCCCAGCTTCAAAACATACCTAACCAGCATATGCTGGTTTTTTCAACAGGGCAGTAGAGCAATATTTGCTTGTTCGGTAAATTTCACTGTAAATCAGTAACAGTTTTGCAGCAGGCTATGCAAACAGACTATTACTGTAAGATATAAACCTGACAGCATTGTCACAACATGGAAGTAAACTTGTTTATTCTAATGTCTGATCTGTGATCAGCGATTTTTAATATGTAATTATTCAAGTCAGATTTTATTTGTCCATTTTTTTTTTTTT